ATTTTTACACAACATTATTAAATAGTGAATATAAAACAATTCATTTTTACATAAAAACAATATAATAATAATAGAATTGTTAATTAAATAAACAAATTTAACTGAATTCATTTATTTTTGAAAATTAAGTAAGTTAATGTAAATTTCAAAATTTATTAGTGTGAGTTTCAGATATTTTGCCAATAGGTGTCGCTAGTAACGGGTTTGTAAGTTACATGTAAGTTATTTTTTGTTTGTAAGTTACACGTAACTTACATGTAAGTTACAATGTAAGTTACGTAACTTACAAGAGCTTACATCTCTAGTTATCATTCAAATGAGAGGTATTTCCAGTGATACCGGATTGTCATTGAATGCAAATAAAGGTTAGAAGTCATCAACTCTTGAAGGTTACGGTCCGATTGAGTCTAACCCTAACTCTTACACCAAATCCATAGAAACTAATGTTAAAAGACTTTCGTTGAGTAAACTTCCGTTAGTTTTTATCGCCGATTGCATTGAACTCCACTAATCAATAGATTGTTATCGTAGCAAAAATGAACAGTGCAAAATATACTTGTAAAACATTTTTATTGACAACAATCAAAAATAATTAATTGATTAATTAAAATCCTGAACAAAGAGTTGACAGACAGAAAACCCAGATTCTGGTTTAAAAATCTATCCTTGCTCATATTTCAGTTTATGTTCTAATCTACTAGATTATTAGTGAAGTATTAATACTAAATCTATTTTTTATCTGTTGTAAGAAAATAAAACGTTGAACTTGAACAAAAATCCATATGATTTGTATCTAGATCCAGATTTTAAACAATTTATGCTTTATAAGCTAGTTAATTTCTAAATGTATATTATAGTAACATTAGTTTTATAACAAATTATAATAGCTGAAAATGATTTGCAGCCAGTTCATTTAACATGTTTTCAGATTAATAAACTTTAAAGAGAGTGAATGGCAATAATGACACAAACAATACGGCCAAAGTTGGACCCGGAGACTGACCAGTGTTGTACTAGCGAACAAAACTGTATTAACAAAGTGACCTAGGCGCTAATTTGTTTTATTAAATACTTACCGGCAGTTGGAATGATAGTGGATGCAATGGACACATGGTGGCGGCGTTACGATGCAACCGTATGTAACCTCCTTCGCCCCACTGGTCGCCCCAAGAGTTCTTAATGATCCAGTAATGTTTGTCCAGTTCTTTATCATATCCGTAACCGACCACAAGTACCGCGTGATTAAATTTCCCGCACTGAATCCACACGTGAGGGACCCGCATATTTTTGGTCAGTTACGGCTACACATGCTGGTGTTTTCGCCCTGGCAATAGCGCGTGCATTGAGCACTCTCACGAAAGCAAAGATCCTAGCAGAAGAGAGCCAATTCCAATGGTTGCCACCCGTTTAGACTCCCTTTCCCGATCACATGTACCTTTCTATTGGATAACACGCGGTTATTAGATGAATAGACTAGTAAGTAAAGCATCCAAATCCAGTTATTTAACTATCTGTTGCGATATCGGAGAACTTCATGAGATTAAGTATGCAAACGAATCATGTAATAAGGGCCATTTTAGGAGAATTTTATTTTACATATAAATAACTACTTGACAGGTTAGTAACTATTACAACTGTTAACTGTTCTTAACTGAACAAATTGCTTTAGTATTAATGATTACAGATTTTTAAAGAAGTAGATAATTACTACTGTTCTATTGATTACCTTGGCAGTATATGGATAGTTTTCCCATGATGTCAAACCATTTTTCTGAATGTAGGATAAAAGTGGGCGAAAATTTGTAGAATGCACTCCTTCACAGGACGCTCCAGGGAAACAGTCGAGAATTTGCTGGGGGCTAAGTGGGGTGATTCCGTGGCCACTACGAGCCCAATAACTTTCTACCATTGCTGCCATTGCAAATGGCACACACGACCCACAATCTTGCTAAATATATAAAATTATACTACTGTACATTAAATCTTGATAAAATTAATTAGTATTTCAACTAAATATCCAAATCTATAAAAGTGGCCTGTATACATCGTCATCCAGTTGTGTACCATATAATGAACATATACTATTTAATTCAAATTATCACCTTCAACACTTCGCAATGTATTTATAAATATGTATACTTGATCCTGCACAGGTCCAATTACTCCTTGATCGCGCCAATCGACTGACCAGCTCTTATCGGCGGTGTGCGAGTCAACAGAAGTCGAGTGAGACTTAGAGTGACCTATGGGTGGGCTTATTCCGAACTTGCAATGCGTGTGTTTCTGTCTAAACTCGTCAGGAGTCAAATCCGCGTCCACACTGACACGTGATGTATACGAATACGTGCCGTCCAGAGCTTTCAAGTTGTGTCCGTACACTCGCAACATGTTGTCCCGGAATATCTGTTCCCTCCGACGCTCCTCTTCGCTAGATTCGTAAGATTTGCTGAATTCAGACTTAAATTCATTGAAAGCATTCTCTAAGTTCTGTTTATCGTCCAAATATTCCTTTCAAATGAAAATAGTTTACATAAACTCCGCATACAAGTGAAAAAGGGATTATACTGTAGTACTTTAAAGTCATCGTATGTCTTATCAATGGTGCGAGATGATTTTATTAATTTGCCTTGCAGAAAATCGTCAAGCGGTGCGTACGGTTGTTCTTACCTTAGTTAATATGTATTTTAGTTATAAATTGCAGATATAGTGTTAATTATATTTTTAAATTTAACATATGGTAATTAATAATTTCTTATATTGTAATATAAATTACCAAAATGCCAATATGCTAGTGCAATTAATCCAGCAATTAGTAGAATACCAATAACTACAAAGAAATAAACTATTAATTCAATAACCTTTCACAATTTTTAAATAATATCACATACCTAAACACTACCAAAAACTGCCCTTTTCATTGTGAAATTGCTTTTGTCAAATTGTTTAATTTTTCAAGCAAAATTTATTTGTCTAAACCAATAATAAGATGAATACTGAAAATGATTACAAACTTAGATAACAGTAATATTTAACAAAACTTATTAAACTATTTCATATATTAACCGTAATAAACAAGACTTTATAATTGAGTTATTTTTTGCAATTATACGTCTAATTAATAACACACAAAGCTCATAATTTTTAACCAATAAACATGGTATCAAACAATAATATTAAATATTATACGCAAATTATAACCAAATATATTTAATATTTTTAATTTGGTATTAACTGCAAATATTTTGCATAGAGCTGCTGACATAGAGCTATGCTATGCTGATAGCCTTGTCTTGTCTCTGCATTTCCACATACTTTGCAAAAAATAAAAAAGTGTCTGAACATTATTGTCGCCTATGTTTGACAAACGGGAACTAGCAAATTGACCTAAACTTAAATAACTGAATGACCAATAGACTTTTGACCATTGTAAGGATAGGTAAGGTTAGGTTAGGTCAAGGGGAACATTTTACACTGGTCATCAGGTATATTTACCTACTGGTCATTAAGTTATTTAAGTTTAGNCATCAGGTATATTTACCTACTGGTCATTAAGTTATTTAAGTTTAGGTCAATAGACCCGCACCCTTGACAAACAGACAGTAATACTAGTTATGCTAATTTAAGCTCATTTAATAAATCAAACATTAATTACTCATTAGGTTTCATTCAATGAACATATTTTCCTTTATTACGAAAACTTTTTAAAACATTACAAGATATGCCTTAAAATTAATAAACTTTATAGCATTCAAACACCATTAATGCTTAATGTATGTTATTGTACAGTACTATTAATTTTATAACAAATTATAATACAGTAGTTGAATACGACTGTGAGCCAGCTCAGTTAACATGTTTTCAGATTCATATACTTTTAAAGAGAGTGAATGGCAATAATGACACAAACAATGCGGTCAAAGTTGGACCCGGAGACTGACCAGTATTGTACTAACAAACAAAAATGTATTAAACAAAATGAACATTTTAAATGTTTTTTCAATAACTTATTATTATATCAGATAAATGGGTGAAAGGGAGTAGAAATCATTGAAAAGACAAATTGTATGAAAAGGTCGCGCCCAGGACTTGAACCCGAGACCTCCTGATTACATGTCAGACACCCTAATGAACAGTACTTTATTTTATTAAATACTTACCGGCAGTTGAAATGATATCTTAAACAGTGGACACGTGGTGGTGGCGCTGCGATGCAACCGTATGTAACCCCTTCAGCCCAGTCGTCTCCGTAAGAGTTCTTGACGATCCAGTAGTGTCTATCCAGCTCTGTATCATATCCTCATGGGTGAGCACTCTCTGGCCGGATATCTATTCAATATTTTAATTATTGACTCAATTTTACTAGTGTATAACCAGCGTATTCTAGTCAAGTAAAACTGATTCATATTCGTGAATTTTACATTAACTAGAGTGAAAATAATTTTTTATATAGATTTTGTAATTTTCGGGATTATGTATTTTGGGATTTTGATTGTCGGGATTTCTATGTACTCCCGTAACTGATCCCGCACAGGTCCATTTACTCCTTGATGGCGCCAATCGACTGACCCGCTCTTATCGCCGGTGTGCGACTCATTGTGAGCTATGGGTCGGTTCAGTGCGAACGGACAACGCGTGTGATTCTGTCTAAACTCCTCAGGAGTCAAATCCGCGTCCACACCGACCCGTAATGTATACGAATACTTGCCGTCCAGAGCTTTCAAGTTGTGTCCGTACACTCGCAACATGTTGTCCCGGAATATCTGTTCCCTCCGACGCTCCTCTTCACGCGATTCATACGATTTGCTGAATTCGTACTTAAATTCTTTGAAAGTTTTCTCTAAATTCTGCTTATCGTCCAAATATTCCTTTCAAATAAAAAATAGTTTACATAAACTCTACTGTATATACGAGTCAAACATAAACATGGATATTATAGTACATACTTTAAAATCATCGTATGTTTTATCAATGGTGCGAGATGATTTTAGTAATTTGCCTTGCAGGAAATCGCCAAACGGTGCGTACAGGTTGTATTTATCACCTTGGTTAATAATTTGCATTCTTAATCATAAGTTAGTACCGGAGAAATAGTTTTTCAGATGATAATTTGAAAACCAGCCCTAAATATAATCCAGGTCATTCACTAAGAGATTTACAATAAACTTATAAAATTATTAATATGTGAAATACATTAAATTAATCATGTAGTAAAATAAAAACATGATTTATTAATTAAACAAGCTTATTCTTAAACATATTCATATTAAACTTTTGAAAAACATTAATATAATAAAGACTTTTTAAACAGTACTAATTTATCTATTTTTGTAAATTAATTTTTATTTTACTATATGATTAATCTAATATATTTTATACATTCATATTAACATAAGTTTATTGTGAATCTCTTAGTGAATGTCCTTGATTATATTTAGGGCAGGTTTTCAAATTATCATCTGAAAGACTATTTCTCCGGTACTGAATCATAAGTTGTAGATATTGTGTAAATTATAGTTTTTGAATTAAAAAATAAAAAGTTAATTTCTTATATTAGTATATAAATTACCAAAATGCCAATATGCAATTAATAAAATTAATCCAGCAAATAGTAGTATACCAATAACTACAAAGAAATAAACTATTGGTTCAATAACCTTTCACATCTTAAAATAATAAGTTATCACGCACCAATAACACTACCAAAAACTGCTCTTTTCATTATGAAGTTGCTTTTGTCAAATTGTTTAATTTTTCAACTATTTATTTGTCTAAACCAATAATAAGATGAATACTTAAAATGATTACAAACTTAGATAACAGTAATATTTAACAAAACTTATTAAACTATTTCATACATTAACTGTAATAAACACCACTTTTTAATTGAGTTATTTTCTGCAATTATACGTCTAATTAATAATACACAAAGCTCATATCATAATTTAACCAATAAACATGGTATTAAACAATAATATTAAATATTATACGCAAATTATAACCAAATATATTTAATATTTGTATTTTGATATTGACTGCAAATATTTTGCATAGAGCTGCTGACATAGAGCTACGCTATTACTGTAATATCCTTGTCTTGTCTCTGCATTTCCACATATGTTGTAAAAAATAAAAAAGTTTCTCAACATTATTGTCGCCTATGTTTGACAAACTAGTTAACTAGTTTGACGTAAGTATAACTAGTTATGCTAACTTAAGCTCATTTAATAAATCAAACATTTATTACTCATTAGGTTTCATTCAATGAACATATTTTCCTTTATTACTAAAACTTTTTAAAACATTACAAAAGTAGCTTATATAGCTATATATGCCTTAAAATTAATAAAATTTATAGCATTAAAACACCTGGACACAATGGTCGGCAACATGGCATCTATTGCCGGCATCCTTGCGGATATAGCCGAACCCGCCGTCTCCCCAACCGCCGCCCCACGAGTTCTTCACAATCCAATACCTCATATCCGTGGGCTTGTCATAGCCATAGCCCACCACAAGTACCGCGTGATTCATATCTCCATCGCAGGGGCCGTCGAATATGCCCTGTCTATAACTGAAAAACGGTTCGGACGCGTGTATGGCTATAGTGGCCGGGCCGTTATCTTGAACCGCCAAATGGAGGGCCCCCTCATCGCCATTGCCCGCCACCCATCTCCATTCGTTTATTCGGGCCACAGTCCGGCCCTCCCGGTCCCTATCGCACCCGTTTTTCTATAGTTAAGGCGAATAATTAGTTTACTTTTTAGTACCTCGGTTACTTTGATTCTTATTAATTGCCAACTTTAAACATTTATCATTTATGAGATATATTTAGTGACAAACCCGGGACTGGTAGGGATAGTTGTCCCAAGATGTGAGTCCCCTATCCTTCACATAGTTGAAGACGGGCTCAAAGGCTGAACCACTTTGGCAGACATCGTAGTCGAGACCGCAGTCGAGGATCTGTTGCGGACTCAGAGGTCTGATTCCGTTTCCGATTCGCGCCCAATAGCTCTCCACGAGTGCTGCCGTTGCGAATAGAGTACACGAAAGGCACTGACCCTATAGTCGAGGCCATAGATAGCAGTGTATTATTAAGGCAACAATTGTCGGCAAATACACACTATTTTTGAAAATATCCCGAAAACAGACTATTTTTGACTATACTTTATTTTATATTAATTGATAACAAAAACTACTTTTTAGTACAAAAGTACACTATTTTGAAACATTCACTAATAAATAAAAGTATTTTATAATATTCACTAAAAGAATTTTATATAAGGTTACAGAATATTGCCGACAATACTGACCTGATCCTGGACGGGTCCGATCACTCCCACCGATCGCCAGTCATATGACCAACTGTTGTCGTCCTTCAGCTTCTGATCTTTGCCGCCCTTTCCTTTCTTCCCTTTCCTCCCTTTCCTGCCCTTCTTGTGCCCCCCACTGACCGTCCCATTCATGCGCTTCTTCTCTTCGGGTGTCATCCGAAAGCCCGTGAACTGAGCGATGATCTCCTTCTCAGTCATGTCCGCGAATTGGTTGATGTGTTCAGTGTATGAGGACTTGCCGTTCATGGCGTCCACGTTGTGCTCAAACACTCGCAACATATTCCTCTTGAAGATCTGCTCCCTTTCCCCGTCCTCTGACTTATCGGCATAAGTCTTGTGGAACTTTGTCTTAAACTCTTTATACATTTCATGTAAACTCTGTTTCTCTTCCAATGATTTCTAGAAAACAAATTCATTGAGAAATGAATTGAAACTCAAAACAAGTCTTACTTTGAATAAAGCGCTCAAATGAGAGGTGTTTTTGGCGGCCATTGTCCGCAACATTCGGTTCGGTCGCAGATTCTCGCCCTGAAGGAAG